AATAAATCTTTTGAAAGAAAAAAAAAATGTGATGCTGGGCACAATGGCACACCCCTGTAATCCTGTAACTAGGGAGGCTGAGGCAGGAGGATCGCAAGTTTGAGACTAGCCTCAGTAACTTAGTGTGGGTCTTAGCAACTTAGTGAGACTCTGTCTCAAAATAAAAAATAAAAAGGGTTGGGTACTCGGGTCAGAATGGCAGTGTTTTAGTCAGCTTTTTCGCTGCTATGACTAAAAGTTCTGACCAAACAATTGTAGAGGAGGAAAAGTTTATTTGAGGACTCGTGTTATCAGAGGTCTTAGTCCATAGAAGGCCAGCTCCACCTCAGTGAGGCAGGACATTGTGGTGGAGGAGTGTGGCAGAAACAGTTCACATTGCCCTCAGGAAGCAGAGAGACTCCACTTGCCAGATACAAATACATGCCCCAAAGCCACACCCAATGCCCCCCTCCTCCGGCTATACCTTACCACTTCAGTTACCTCTCAGTTAATCCCAATCAGGGGATTAATTCACTGATGGGATTAAGACTCTCATAACCCAATCATTTCTCCTCTGAACCTCTGTCTCTAAATAAAATACAAAATAGGGCTGGGGATGTGGCTCAGTGGTCGAGTGCCCCTGAGTTCAGTCCCCAGTACACACCCCCCAAAAGATAACCTTCTAACACATCCAAACCATTACAGGCAGCTATAAAGAATACAAGTAACAATCAATATTGGGGAGGATGTGGGGAGAAAGACACTCTCATACATTGTTGGTGGGACAGCAAATTGGTGTAATCACTATGGAAAGCAGTATGGCAATTCCTTAGAAAACCTGAAATGGAACCACTATTTGACCCAGTTATCCCATTCCTCTCTATACCCAAAGGACTTAAACATAGCATACTACAGTGATATAGCCACATCAATGTTTATAGCAGCTCAATTTACAGTAGCCAAGCTATGGAAAAAACCAAGGTATCCTTTAACAAATGAATGGATAAAGAAAATGTGGTATATACACATAATGGACTCAGCCATAAAGAAGAATGAAATTATGGCATTTGCCAGTAAATGGATGGAACTAGAGAATATCATGCTAGGGCTGGGATGTAGCTCAGTGGCAAAACATCTGCCTTGCATTCGCAGAGCCGGGGATTTGACCCCCAGTTCCAAAAAAGACAAAAAAAAAAAAGAATATCATGCTAAGTGAAATAAGCCAATCCCCCAATACCAAAGGCCAAATGTTCTCTCTGATTTGTGGATGCTAACTCAGAACAAGGGAGGGTGGGGAGGGGAAGAATAGAAGTTCATTGGATTAGACAAAGGGAAACAAATGAAGGGAAGGGAGCGGGGAGGAGAATAGGAAGGACAGTAGAGTTAATTGGTCATAACTTTGCTAGCTTTGTATTTGAATACATGACCAGGGAAACTCCACATCATGTACAACAACAAAAGTGGGGACCTAAATTGAATAAGTTATACTTCATGTATGTATATTCTGCCAAAATACATTATACTATCATATATAACTAAAAATTAAAAAAAAAAAAAGTTAGAAATGTAGCTCAGTGGTAAAGCACCTCTGGTTCAATCCCCAGTACCAAAAAAAAAAAAAAAGTGGCATTATTCAGTGTCCCCACAGATCACAGAAACACGGTGGCAGCAGAGGTCCATCCTGTACCAGTGTAACCCTTGGATGTAGAGTGTTACCCTCACAGAGTCTGACTGCTCTTCACACTTCTCTGGGAGTCGATTTTGCTGCTGGTTGCAGATGTTTTCCAACAGTCTAAATAAATCTTCAGTTAATAAACAGTCCAATAAATCTCTTTGGGTGCGTTCTGTTTCTTAAACAATTCAGTCAGGGCAGACAGAATATTTGAGCTTGGATTCTGTCTCCAGCAGACACAGGGTTTAAGTGAGCTGTTTTACACACCCCAGAGGGGCTGTTCACTGGAACCTTAGGATGGACTACAAGTATCATGGCTCTTTAAATCATGTCGAGGATCTGAAGGCATTTCTTTATACACAGAAAGACAGTTATGAAGGTGTTTAGAAAAGCGGGATAAGTTTACATGGAGTTTCATAACTTTATCCTCCTTCCCCTTTCTGCTGTCAGTTTGCAAAAGATAAATCTGTGCCAAGAACTTGACTGCACACGAACCAACATTGCTTTAATCTTTGTGTGAACCTTGGAAGAAGGAAGCTAGTTTTCCTTGGCAAACTTAAATAGTCAATTCATACAAACCTCATCATTATGAACCTGGGTCTTTTGGGATTGCAGAGAGTTTATCTGAATTTGGGGCAGGTATAGCTGAAGAAAACATGTTTAAAACTTTTTCTTAATGCAAACTATTGAACTTAAAGTTGGCTAAAATATTTCTAGAGCAGATACAGAAGATGGAATAGAATAAAAGCATAGTGGGACAGAAGAGAAATTATTTAGGGAATCAAAATCTATCACATGGTAAGCAAAATAAGAATTCTGACCAAGGACAAGGTTGAGTAGACTTTGTCTACTCAATGGAAGGGAGCCCCCAATTTGAATATGAAATTATGCTTATGCTGTGCACATGAGAACAGAAGCTGTAATGTATTGAGGACCCTCATGTTGGGATTGTGCTTTACCTGTGGGCCCACACGCCGCAACATGCTACATATCCCCATTTTACAGATAAGAACACTGAAGTTAGTGATAAGCAACTAAAAGCTAGGGATGGTGGTACTGAAAGAATTCCCCATGCAAAGACACTTCACCGGGAGAATTCCAATTTTATTGCAAAAAGCAGTGTGCTTATATAGAACTAAGGGGGAGATGGTAGGGTTTAGACAAATGGCAGGCAACCTGTTTATTGGCAAGTTCTTTCAGATATAGGCTCCGGAGCCCAGGAATTAGTTCTCATTGGGGCTAAGGTTCCCCGCCAGCGAGATTTGAAATTGGCGCCGGCGGGAGAGTTCACACGGGCGGGAACTTTTCGCGCCACTGCAGAAAAGAAGAAGGTAGGAAGAAGAGGTGCTTAGGCGCCATGTTGGGGTTTTTTTCTCTGGGGTATGGCTGCCGTTTATACTTTTCCCAACAGGTACAAACCTGTAATTCCAGCTACTTGGGAGGAAGATTGATGCAGGAGGATCACACATTCCAGGCTCATCTGGGCAACTTAGTGAGAACCTGTCACAAAATAAAAAATAAAAAGCCGGGCGTGGTGGCACACGCCTGTAATACCAGAGCTCGGGAGGCTGAGGCAGGAGCATAGCCAGTTCAAAACCAGCCTCAGTAATAGGAGGTGCTAAGCAAATCAGTGAGACCCTGTCTCTAAATAAAATACAAAATAGGGCTGGGGATGTGGCTCAGTGGTCGAGTGCCCCTGAGTTCAGTCCCCAGTACACATCCCCCCAAAAATAAATAAAAAAGTAAAAAGAGCTGGGGTACACGTTGCTCAGTGTTAGAGCACATCTGGATTCAATCTCCAGTACCACACACAGAGAAATAATAATATTAAATAAATAAATAAAAGCAAGTAAGTAGCAGTTTAAATTAGATGTAAAAAACTTCTCATTAAAAAAGGCTTGGCTGGGTGTGGTGACACATGCCTATAATCCCAGCAGCACAGGAGGCCAAGGCAGGAGGATCCCAAGTTCCAAGACAGCCTCAGCAACTTAGTTATATCCTGTCTCTACATAAAAAATAAAAAAGGCTAGGGATGTGGCTCAATAGTTAAGCATCTGGGTTCAATCCCCAGTACCAAAAAAAAAAAAAAGCATTCTAAAATCATATTTTGCATTTCCTGCCTCCTTCAATACATTATACTGAACATTGAGCAGCCCTCTGTTGAAACTCCTCCTCATGGTGGCGACTAGACAATACCATTAGTGAGGTGATGCTCTCAGGTCTGTGGTGCAGGGGCTCTTGACTCACACTGCTCTTTTCCACTTGGTATCTCAGAATATAACTTTGATTCTTCCTTCATCTGCAGTTCATATGCTTCAAGTCCTTTTTCTTCCTTAAATGGGGATCTGGCACTGCACCAGTTAGCACTGTATGTAAAGTAAGAGTAAACAGGCCTGATGGGCTGGCCTGCCCCTACCAGCCCATAATAGCAGGTTCCCTACCTTCCACTTCCACATCACAGCAGTCTCATTGCACACCTAAGTTCATGCTGCATCCCAGATGGAGAAGTGCACTAGTCACTGAATTCTAAGCCCGTGAGGTAAAGGAAACTTTCATTAGAAGTGAGACAACAGAGCTGGGTGTGGTGGGGTGTGCTCCTGTAATCCCCTCTGCTTAGTTTAGAAGGGTAAGGCAGGAGGATCACAGGAGGGTCACAAGTTCAGGCTGTCTTAAAAATTGAAAAATAGAAAGTTCTGGGGATGTAGCTCAGTGGTACAGCCCCTCTGGGTTCAATCTCTGTACAAAATAAATAAATAAATAAAAGATGATAAATATAAACATACACATGCATGCACGGTTTTATTTATTGTCTCTCTAGCATTGACCTACTACTTTCAAAAATTTCCAGACTAAAAAAATTTTTCTTTCTGAAGAAAGGAAATAAAAAACCACTTAGCATTTGTTTATATTGTTCTATTGTTCCGTTTTTTTCCTGTAATAGAAGGTGTATCTGGTTCACTCATTGCAAAAGCCTTCACTACACATTTACATAGAATTCTCACTAATACGCTAAAAAAAAAAATAGTGCTCGGGATTGAACCCAGGGCCTTGGGCATGATGTGCAAGTGTTCTGTCAGGGAGCTACACCCCCAGCCCTAAACCTTTCCGAGGTAAAAAAATAATAGAACATGAACATAGCTTTGGGTCAGATTTTTTCCCCTCCAGTTTGTTTCTGGACACTTTCTTTTGCCTGCTAAAGAGCTCAGAAGTGTGTATACCTAGGCCTGGGGACATTTATAAACTACTTTTTAATGAGCCTCGATTTTGGATGAAATGGCGTGATGAGCCAGCTGCTCTTCATGTAGCTTTTGCTGTAAATCCTTCAAAGAATGAAAATGAGGACCAGTCATTTCCCCAGGGAATTTTTCCTTCTTATTATTTTTCTTTTTGTAAAGTCATTATTATATTAAGGTATGGGTATAAGACATTAAAAGAGATAAGGGGTATCATGTGAAGCAGGAAATCAGACAATCAATCCAAATAAACTATAGAAATTAAATCAGATCCTGCAGGCAGGGTGGGAGGTGACACCTTCTTTTCAGAGTTGTCTTCAAAAGTAGGAATGGAAAACAAAACAAAAAACAAAGACAACCCGCACTCAGCTGCAGAAGGAAGCTGGGGTCTTGGCCTGACAGCTGTTAATGTCTTTATGAGAGGGCAGCCATTCAAGTGCCTTTTCCAGAATAGACCAAGGAAGACAAGTCCAGTTCAGTTTTTAAGGCTTTAGTCAGCTCTGTGGCCAGCAGCTCGTGGAGGGACACACCATCGTGGGAGTACACCCAGCTTTTCCCAGTCCAGTCGTAGCGCTTGGGTCCACTGGAAGATAAAACAAACACACGGGAAGTCCATGGGATGCTCTAGGAGAAGCACTAAGTTTTGTTTGGGATCAGAGATGTGCCTTGAAGGGTGGTGTTAAAGGATTGGTGGCCAGCCCACAGTGCCACAGGGAGGTGATGGAACATGTGGGAGGGGGCTAGAGGAAGAGGTCAGGTCCCTGAGGGTGCTCTCCAAGGGGATGTTGGAACCCTGATCTTCTCTTTCTTTGCTTCCATCCACCATGGGGTGGGTGGCCTCTTCTACCGTGTGCTCCCAGAATGGTGCTGGGCTCACCACAGGCCTGATGTGATAGGGCCAAGCAACTGTGGACTGAAACTGCTTCTTTTCAATTGATCACCTTCGGTATTTTGCCACAGAGATAAAAAAATGCTGACCAGTACTCAGATACCACAAAGACTGCCACCAAGATACTCCCCAGAGTATACAAGTGAGGCACATATTTGATTTCTTTTTTTTTTCCCAATACTATGGATGGAACCCAGGGTCTTGGCTAAACAGGCATTCTACCACTGAGCTATATCCCTCATGCCATATATTTGATTTCTTGACTTAGTGTCTTTCTATTTAAGAATAATTATAAGTGGGGGGCAGTGGTGCATGCCTATAAATCCTAGTGACTTGGAGGCTGAGGCAGGAGGATGTCAAGTTTGAGGTCAGCATTAGCAATTTACCAAGATCCTGTTTCAAAAAAGAAAAAAGAAAAAAAGAACTGGAGATGTAGCTCAGTGGTAGAGCACTCCTGGGCTCAATCTCTAGTACCAAAATCAATCAATCAAAATACAAAAGTTAGAATAATCACACAACCCATCTTCTGGAACATTTCACAGAAAAGTTCTCAAGACCTGAAAACATTTGGCTCTTATCTGTCAGTCTCCAGGCATCCGGTTCTGACTTTGCCTACCACACCAATGATACTTGCTATCTTAGAGCAGTGCTTATAAAAATCATGGCCATTTTGTGTCACTGACATGATTTGTGCCTTGCTTGCACTATTATTAATTATTATTATTGCTTAGGGCAATTGCTGAGGTTGGCTTTGAATTTGTGATCATCCTGCCTCACCTTCCCAAATCCCTGGGATTATAGGCATGTGCCATTACATCCAGTATTTAAAAAAAAAATTTTTTTTTTGGTACTAAGAATTAAATCCAGGGGCACTCTACCACTGAGCTACATCCCCAGCTCTTGTTCTTTTTTTAATTTTGAGACAGGATCTTTCCCCAAGTTGTCCAGGCTAGCTTGGGACTTTGCCATCCTCTTCTATCAGCCTCCTAAATTGCTGAGCTTACAGGTGTGCACTACCAGGCCTGGCTAAAAAACCATTTTTCTTAATCAAATTTTACATCCTTGCAACTGAGTGCTTGACTGGCTAGTTCATCCACTTGGGCTCATTTACTGACAAAAATGGCACATGAACTTCACTTGGGGAAGACTGTATTATACGAGTATTCCTCCAAAAGTCTGTATGTGAATGTGTGGTCCCCAGAGTGGGGTACTGGGAGGTGCTGTGGATCTTGAAGAGGAAGAGCCTAGCTGGACACGTGGTTCACACCTGCAAGCCCACCAACTCAGCAGGCAGAGGCCAAAGGATTGAAAGTTCAAGGCCAGGCTTAACAATTTAGTGACATCCTTGCAGCTTAGTGTCAAAATAAAAGTAAAATAAAAAGGTCTGGGGACACAGCTAGTGACAAAGTGTCCCTGGGTTCAATTCCTAGTACCAAAAAAAAAAAAAAGGAGGAAGACCCAAGGGAAGGGTCCTTAGGCCATGGGGACATGCCTCTTAAAGGGACTGTGGGACTCTCACCTAATCTCTCTGCTTCCTGGCTTGAGATGTGACTGATCCTACATGTGCTCCCACCTTGAGGTATTACCCTCACTGGAGGCCAAACCAAGGATCCTCCCTACCCTCAGCCACCCAATCTTGACCTTTGTTTTCTTTTCCTTTTTTGGCAGTGCTGATGATTGGACCTGGACTTCAAGCATGCTACATACGCGCTCTACCACTGAGTCATCCCTAGCTTTGAATCTCCAAAACTGTGAGCTAAATAACACTCTTCTCTCTACAAGTTAGTCACCTTAGGTATTTCTTTGTGGTCATGTGAAGGTGACTAATCCACCTTATTCATGTACACAAAGTTGAGCTGTTTTTGCCATGACTTGTTACATCAGATATACACAATGTGTCCCAAATTCCATCTCCTGGAGGCTGAGTGGATGGGGTGACACAGCAATGGATATCCTGATGGAATTTAGGAGGCTGATAGAAGAGGATGGCAAAGTCCCAAGCCAGCCTGGACAACTCAGAGAAAGACCCTGTCTCAAAATAAAATGGTTCTGGGAACCCACGAACAGGGGCACGTTAGCCCATCTGGGTCACTAAGGGGAAACTTTCCAAAGACAGGTGGGCAGGAGTTGGCCAGGGAAGGAAGCTAATGTGAAGCATCTTTTAGAGCTATAACATTTTTAAATAATTCCTGTATGGGGCTGGGCATGGTGGCACACACCTATCATCCCAGCAGCTTGGGAGGCTGGGACAAGAGGAACATAAGTTCAAGCCAGCCTCAGAAACTCAGGGAGGCCTTAAGTAACTTAGTGAGACTCTGTCTCAAAATTAAAAAAGAAAAAAAGGGTTGGGGGATGTGGCTCAGTTGTTAAGTACCCCTGGGTTCAATCACTGGTACCGGAAAAAAAAAAAAAAGAATTTCTGTATTGCTAAACAAATAGTGGGGTTTGAACATGTGCCCAGGAATACAGATAGAGGGGAAGCTGGGAAAGTAACTCAGAGATAGTATAGATTTGCTTATTAGCATGCATGAGATATACAATGCCCTGGGTACAATCCTCAGCACCACACACAAAAACCAAATAAAATGGACAGGGCTCTTGTTTATTCTGCACATACTGCTGAACACAAACCACCTGGGCCATTAAGAAGAAGGAAGAACAACGGAGAACCTCCATTGGTATGGTATCCTGAGTTTGATACCAGGTAGCCAGGTAGAAGGTGAGTAATATCCATGCCCCTCCACATCACCCAGGACTCTGACCTAGCTCAGGTGCTGACACCCAGATGTTCCCCAGACCTCTCCTTTATCCCACCCTACAACCTACAGCCTCCTCAAGGTGGGCAAGGCGGCTAGGAAAGGCTGCCAATTCCACAGGACTGGAAAAGTTGTCAACTGAAAAAACAGATCAGAAACAGCCCTATAAAAGACATTCTGGGGCCTGGGGTTGTGACTTAGCCATCGAGCACTTGCCTAGAACATGTGAGGTGCTGGGTTTAATCCTCAGCACCACATAAAAATAAATAAATAAAATAAAAGTATTGTGTCCAACTACAACTAAAAAAAATATTAAAAAAAAAAAGATTCTGGGGATTCCACCTCTTGGGTCCCCTTCTTCCTCCGGGAGAGGGAGAAGTCTTTACTGCTGTCCTTTAATAAACTTCTAATTTCTACTCTGAAAAAAAAAAAAAAAAGATTCTGGACTAAATAGAAGAGCTGAAAGGGGAAAAATTAAAAAAAAAGGAAAATGTTTTGGAGGAATTCAGTAGCTGTGATAGTAATGAGTGCTCAGCAGAACCCTGCCCCAATCCCATATGAATTACAGATTTTTAATAAAGTACACTTGGGTGGGGCTGTTGATGTGACTCAGTGGTAAAGCACTTACCTGGCAGGTGTGAGAAGCCCTAGGCTTGATCCCCAGCACTGCAAAAAAAAGGTCCACTTGGAATTTCTGGGAAATTATTATTATCCAGTAGTATGTTTCTGAATAGGGTTTTTTTTTTTTTTTTTTAAATGTGATGCTGAGGATTGAAATCAGGGCCTTATGCAAGCTAGGCAAGTTATCTACCATTGAGCTATACCCCAGTACTTGCCTATAATTTTTTTTTTTTTTTTTTTTTTAGCACTGGGGATTGAACCCTGGGATGTTTTGCCACTGAGCTACATCCCTAGCCCTTTTTGTTTTTTTATTTTTAGATAGGATCTTGCTAAATTGCTGAGAATGACCTGGAACTTATGATTCTCCTGCCTCAACCTCCTGAGTCACTGGAATTACAGGTGTGCACCACTGTGTGTCTGGCTATACTTTTTTTTTTTTTTTCTTAATTCCACACTGGTTCATTTGGGCCTTTCCCAATTCACACTCCATCTGTTCTCTTTGGAAGTGATAATGAATGACCAGGAAGGTCAGTCTGAGAGCTCTGTGGGCATCTCTCTCTTCTTTTCTTACAACCACTTCAGTAGCAGCTGGACTGCAGAGGCTCTGCATGTTCTCAGGCTTTGAGACGAAGGCTGTCTGCAACACAGTTTTTTATTCCTCTACACTGAAAGCACATTGGTGAAGGGATTAAATACCCTACAGTAGTGACTTAAAACACTGTCCCAGCTACTCAGCTGATCCCTAGCTGAGATGCTCAAAATAGACTAGTGCTCAAACTTTAATTTGCTTTGAAGACAGTACAACTTGCTCAGATGCTGCAATATCAAAAACAGTTTTCATGGTGCCAGGGATAGAACTCAGGGCCTCGTGCATGCTAGGCAAATGCTCTACCACTGTACCCCCAAACAATTTAATGGAGGTTCAGGTTTGTTCAGGTTCTGAAAAGTTATACACTTTTTGCTTTAGATCTTGCCAACATCCTGATGCCTGTTGATGGTAGACAAGTTATCAGCAGGGAGAAGCTATGTCACTAGAGTGAACTTTGCTACTGAAGATGGAACAGGCTGTAAACATCAGGAATGAGTCACCTGCAGATACACCTGAGAGGACCCTTCTTAAATGGTCTACAACAGCGCATTTCTAGCAAGTTAAACCAGTACAGATTTCAACTTCTGAACATACCTGGAGGGAGATGATAACCAGATTTGCTTGTTTGGGGTCTGCTTGTTGATCACATAGGTTCCTAGATCTCCACCCAGTTTAACTGTTAGGACACCACTCTAGGGGAGATGGAAGAAAGAATGAATAAAACAAGACAAAATTAGCACTTTGCAATAATATCTTTATATGTTATAATATTTCAATGCTTTCCACGTACACAAGTACACCACACACAGCATAAAGAAATCCTTCATGGGGCTGGGGATAGAGCCCAGTGGTACAGCGCCTCCTTAGCAGGCACAAGGTCTTGGGTTCAATCCTCAGCACACATGCAAAAGTCTTTTTTTGTTTTTCTTTTGTACCAGGAATTGAACCCAGGAGTGTTTAAGCACTGAGCCACATCCCCAGCCCTTTTTTATATTTTATTTTAAGACAGGGTCTTGCTAAGTTGCTGAGGCTGGCTTTGAACTCGGGATCCTCCTGCCTCAGCCTCCCGTGCCACTGGGATTATAGGTGTGTGCCACCATGCTTGGCTCACAAAAGCCTTTAGTATTAGGAATAGATCCCACAGAAAGAACACTGCTCTCAGGATCAGAACAGGATTAATCATAATGTTTATACCTCACAGTGCTTTTCCCCAGGAGGTCGGCAAGGCAGGGATGGCTGACTTTCTATTCTAACATGTGAGATTGCTGGCTTGTTGCCTCCCTCACTCCCTCCCACCAATCAGAACATAATATAGGATGTTAAGAATGCAGACACTAACTCTACTAGAATACTGTACTAACCTGAGTATCAGACATGACAAGTCCATTATGAAAAAAAGAAGGAGAAGGAAAGAAGGAAGCAGTCAACGCCCCCACCTTGCTGGTCACAGATGAGCAGTGGTATTAGCTACGCTGGTAGAAGGCAGCAACTCCAGCCCAGGCCTGTTATGTCCAGACCCTTCCCACGCATCTAACAAGTATCTCAGACTGTCCACTCCACTCCACTACGGCTCTATTTTCCTCTAAAGAGCCTTCCATTCTCAAAAGACTGGTTGGGCCATCTTTGCCCAATAAATGCTCATTTAAATTTGAAAACACTCTTTCAACAAAGGAGCCCTTTACTCCCAAGGCTTTTGAACTCTACAGAGTGGCAAAATATGAAAGAAAGGGAGATAGGGCTAAGTTCCCGCTGTGGGAACTGGTAAGTGGGGTTAGGGGGGGTTGGAGAGCCTCCTGTTCCCCACCGTGTTCATGACTCCCCCCAACGCAAGGCCAGGCAGCCTTTCTCTATGCATGCAAGAGCCCTGGGAACCAAACAGGGATCCCTGAATGATTCTCACAAGGCACTTCCACAAATAGAAGGAGCCACTGAAATGTAGGAGGGCGGTGACAATAGTAATAGAACTGATAGAACAGGATGAGGGTGACGCCATGAGGTTGTTTGTGTGTACTTGTGGTGTCTGCGTGTTGGGCAAGTGCTCTGCCACTGAGCCCTGCCCCGCCACATTAACTGTTCTTAAGCGTACAGTTCAGGAGTGTTAGGTACCCCCACAGTATTGTGAGCTATGCCCAGACCATAGTATTTTTTGTGATGCTGGATCAAACCCAGGGTCTAGTAATATGCTAGGCAAGTACTCTATCACTGAGCTGCGTCCCCAGTGGCACCTTCTCTATGTTGTTTTTATCATTTAAAAAAATATATATTTTTAGTTATATATGGACACATAACTTTATTTTTGTTTATTTATTTTTAAATTAGTGCTGAGGATCGAACCCAGTGCCTCACATGTGTGAGGCAAGTGCTCTGCACTAAACCACAATCCCAGCCCTGTTTTTATAATTTGTTTTTAATTAAAAAAGAATCATATAGCTGGACATGGTGGCACATGCCTGTAATCTCAGTGATTTGGGAGGTTGAGGTAGGAGGATCACAAGTTCAAGGTGAGCCTCTCAGCATCTTAGAAAAACCATGTGTCAAAAAATAAATAAGTGTTATGGATGTAGCTTAATGGTACAGTGCTCCTTGTTCAATCCACAGTAATAAAAAAAAAAAAGAAAGAAAGAAAGAAAAAGAAAGAAAACTGATAGCAACACTGAGAATGCAAATTTTATGGAAAATGAGAACATAAATAGAAATATTACCTACTATTTACTCTCCCTACTCTCTGCCAGTCTCTGTTTGGCATTATGGGAAATTGCTTACAACTGAACATAAGCACTGGAGGTAGGAATCATTATCCAGTTCTACAGATGAGGAAACCAGGGGTTTACAGTGGTAAAGAACACCAGTAACTGCCAGAGCTGGCCTTACATCCAGGGTGGCTGGGTCCAAAAACACTAGTCTTCCCACAACTTCCCATTAATCTGCGACACAAGCTTCATTCTCAGGTAGCTGCCACCAGTTTTTGTTTTTTAATTTAATTATTATCATCAAATTTACCAATATAACAATCTTTTTTTTGTATGTGTGGTGCTGGCGATTGAAACCAGGGCCTTACACATGCGAGGCAAGAACTGTTCAACTGAGCTACCTCTCTGGCCCTTTTTATTTTGAGACAGTGTCTTGCCCAGCCTTGAGCTTGCAATCCTCTTGCTTCAGTCTACAAAGCAGCTGGGATTACCGCATGTGTTGCCACATTTAGTTCTATTTTGGCAATTCTAAACAGTCTGTGGTCACATTTTACCCAGTCAAGTGTGGCAGACTCAGTAGTCACCTAGTGACGAGAGGTGCTTTCAACTCTGGTGGGGTGTCCCTTTAATGACCAACAAGGGGTGAGGCCTGGACCCAGACACTGACATTACCCATTATCTGATCAGATGACATGCCAGCCAAGAAGCTGCTCACCCCACAGAGAGAAAACTGAAGAAGAGATGTTTTTGAGGAATCTGAATCATTGCTTTGTCTACTTGGCCAGCAGTAAGTTGGCAAAAGACCTGTAAATGCTGAGTGGCATAATGAAAGTATGTTTTGGAAAAGTATGTGGGCCATATTTTATTTAAAAAGTGAACCAACATTTATTAAACCCCTATTGTGTATTCAGTACTGTTCTAGGCATTGGGATCAAAGAATGGACAGAGTCCTGTTTGCCAAGGTGCTCAGACTAGTCTTAAGAGCATAGTTACGCTGGGTATGGTGGCACAGGCCTAAAATGCCAACAACTCCAGAGGCTGAGGCAGGGGATCACAAGTTCAAAGCTAGCCTTAGCAACTTTGTGAAGTCCTAACTAACTTAGAGAGACCCAACTCAAAATAAAAGATAAAAAAGGACTGGGGGTATGGCTCAGTGGTTCAATCCCTGGTATCAAAAAAAAAAAAAAAAAAAAAAAAAAAACAAAAACTCAGGAAGTGAGGGTGCTATGTGCAGGGAGTATCTAGGAGGCTTTCCAAAGCAGATAACTTGCAGATGGACCCCAAGGGCAGAAAAAGGCTCCATTCCAAAAAGTTCAGGTAATAGTGTTATGGTGTTTTATGGTCTACAGTGTAGTTTCAGTTAATTTACTTAATACAGGAAATACATAAGGTAGCATCTGAAGGACTGTGATCAGGAATTCATATCACAGGGTGGGGAGGGAGCATTTCAACATATTTATAAGTTCAGACTACAGATGCAGCCACTAAATACTTTTACCTTTCTAAATATACAGTTGAGGGTTTGCTAATGAGTAATTTGTTAGAAATAATTTTTCCCTGGCCTGGGGTTATGGCTCAGTGGTAGAGCACTTGCCTAGTACACGTGAGGCACTGGGTTCAATCCTCAGAACCACATAAAGAATAAATAAATAAAATATAGGTATTGTGTACAATCTACAACTAAAAAAAAATTGTTTCCTGGTGAGCAGAGTGATGCTCAAGGTATAAGGATTGGCTAGAAAAATATAAGGCACCACTCCCTTGCAGGAATGGGTGATAGAATCTGGTAGGTCCAGCAGCTAATACTCTTCAGAGAGACAGAGAGTAGGATTCTTAAAGGTTCTGTGACTCACCACAGAGTAGAAGGTTTTGACACCTGATTTAAACTGATTCAATGAGGCAAACCTAGTCTAGCCACCACAATGTTGGCACATTTGCTGCTGCTGCTTTTTTTTTTTTCCTTTTTGGTGCCGGGGTTGGAATCAGGGCCTTGTATGTGCTTAGTGCTCTGCCATTGAGCTAAATCCCCAACCAATGACACATTTACTTCTTTTGTTCTTTTTTTTTTTTTTTTTATACAGGGGATGGAACCCAGAGGCTCTTAATCATGAAGCCATACACTCAGCCCTCTATTTATTTTTCATTTTGAGACAGGGTCTCACTGACTTGCTTAGGGGCTCACTAAATTGCTGAGGCTGGCTTTGAACTTGCAATCCTCCTGCCTCAGTCTCCTGAGTCAGTGGGATTACAGATGTGCACCACGGCTTGCTGCCATATTTACTTCTTCTTCTTTTGTTTTTGGAGTTGTAGATGGACACAATGCCTTTATTTTATATGTTTATTTTATTTTTTATGTGGTGCTGAGGATTGAACCCAGTGCCTCACACATGCTAGGCAAGTGCTCTACCACTGAGCTATAGTCCCGGCCCCTGCCACATTTACTTTTAATGAAACATTCATGCAAAATACCTGGGTCAATCTGGGGCTTTGCTAATTTTGTGAGAACAGGTTGCATGACTGCTTTTGTGGCTTGTTAATCAATATTTGCACACATGAGCAGAGTGTAGTCTGAGAACTTGTTTCCCTGTAGTTTCAGCCCCTGGTGGGGAGTCTGGGGAAAGGAAGCCTGTAACTTTTCCACCACTAAAATCATTTCCTGGATGGTCAGGCGGTGAGCTAGACTGTAAGCAATTCAGCCCTATGGGGGATCTCTTCGTGAGCACTTTTAAATTTCTATTTATTTATTTATTTTTAGCAGTGCTAAGGATTAAGCCTGGGGCCTCACTCATGCTAGGCAAGCACTTAACCACTGAGCCACACCCCGAGCTTCATAAAGCACCTCCCTGCTGTTGCTGACAGCAATCTCTGAGCCCACCAGAAGGTATCCCTCCTTTACTGCTGGTTTACTTCCATTTTACTACTCTCAGGCTTGACACCTTTTCTAAGACTTTGCTGGCTGTTCTATCTTACGGAGTCTCTTCTCTACCTAGTGGCCTTATAGCAACATGAACATCATTTCTACCACTTCAATTTGACAGTTGATTGTCCTACCTAATCCTATGATTGAATCAAAAAATGTACACTTTGTGACATTTCCTGCTATTAATTAATTGCTATCAAGAGGATTAACCACTGCCTCTGAGGGAGGGGGGAGGGGGCAGGGAGAGGAAGAGGAGAAGAGATTTTTCTCCCAATGGCAAAAAAGAGATCTAAAGGCTAACAATTTTAAACCCAAAAGCAGACTATTGCCTAAGTCTGCCACCTGGTGGCCAATAAATAAACACCAGCACTTCCTTGACTCCTAGGATCTGGGGCTAAAGTTTCATCCAATTCAGTTCTCAAACCAACTGCACAATAGAATTTACCTGGGAGGTGGGGATGTAGCACAGTGGTAGAGCTCTTGCCTAGCAAGCATAAAGCTCTGGGTTCCATTCCCAGCATTGCCAAAAATTATCCCTGCTTAAGGACTAGCTGTCTAGAGTGTACGCCTGTAATCCCAGCGGCTGAGGCTGGGGGATAACAAGTTTGAGGCTGGCCTCAGCAACTTAGCAGGACCATCTTCAAACAAACAAGCAAATAAATAAGAGCTGGGGGCATAACTCAGTGCTAGAGTACCCCTGGGTTCCATCCCCTGTAACAACAACAACAAAAAAGAATTGGTGGTCTAGTTCAGTACTGTCCCTGCTGACCTGCTACACAAACACATGCCCAGGCCTCCTCCCTTATTTACTTTATGGGTATTAGGTGAAGGTTGGGAATCTATATTAATATTTTTTATGGCTCTAGAAATCTGTATATTTTTAACCAGAAATGAGGCTTGGAGAGGCAGGGTTACTGGCCCAGAGTCAATGGTAGGGCTGGGTTGTGTCACTGAACCCTACAGGGTCTTTGGGTCCCTCCCATTACTCTATGCTGCTTGTGCTTTACTCTGCTGCAGAGGCATTCTTACTTCCATAAATTAAAATTCTTATGGAGAAACAGAAAAATTAAAATAAGCCAAGCTATACCCCAAAGGAGACGTCATAGTCCTCCAGTGTACAGGGCTTGTCTGCAAGGTCTTCAAAAAACTCCGCCAAGGCGTCCAGTGTTTCCTCTGCTAGTCTTTCATAGGCGGTTTCGTCTAGAGAGCTGCAGTGGGAACAAATGAGTGATCAGAAAGATATGATTACCAGACTGTTCCATTTTCTAAAAAAATTTTTTAATACTTATGTTTCAGTTTTCGGCAGACACAACATCTTCATTTTATTTTTTTATGTGGTGCTGAAGTTCGAACCCAGCGCCCCGCGCATGCCAGGCAAGCACATTACCGCTTGAGCCACATCCCCAGCCCCAAGACTGCTCCACTTTTTAAAAATCCAATTTATGTATTTATCTTTTAGTGATTTTTTTTAAATTGATGGGAAATAATTACCATGTGTGAAAATTTAAATAACATGAAAGGAGTTTTAGAGTGATGCCTTTCTTCAAATAGACAGCCCTTATCCCCAGAAATTTGAAAATTTAACCCAGGGACAATATGCCACTGAGCCACATCCTCAGCTCCTTTAATTTTTTTTTATATGTATTTTTTTAGGTGAAGATGGACACAACACAATGCCTTTATTTTTAAGTGGTGCTGAGGATCAAACCCAGGTCCCGCCCGTGCTAGGCAAGCACTCCACCCTGAGCCACAATCCCAGCCCCTCCTTTAATTTTTTATTGCGAGAAAGGTCTCATTAAGTTGTGTAGGACCTTGATAAGTTGTTGAGGCTGGCCTCAAACATGTAATCCTCCTGTTTTAGCCTCCCTAGCTGCTGGGATTACAGGTATGCATCACCATTGGGATTATAGTTGCATGCCACAGTGCCTGGATAGATGTTCTTTTTTATATTTAGATTGGATTTATTTATTTATTATTTATTTTTATGTGGTACTGAGGATCAAATCCAGGGCCTCACAAATGCTAGGCAAGTGCTCTACCACAAAGCCACAACCCTAGTCCCCTACATGTTTGTTTTAATATACAATTGAAGCATGTTACATTTTTCACTTAGTATTTATAAATGATTCATATTTGCATATATGGATTTTTATTGTATTTTCTATTACTTTAACCCATTTCCTTCAACTGGACATTGAGGTTGTTTAACTTTTTTTGTTATTAAATTTTATGTTGGGCAAACCACAAGGTTGGGAAAAATATCAACATTACATATATCTGAAAAAGAACAAAGTCAGAATTATAGCCTATATGTCAATAAGGAAACTAAAAAAAAAAAATACTGGGCAAAATACTTGAATAGATTTCATTAAAGAAAAGATGCCCAAATGATCAATGAGCATATGAAAAGGTGCTCAACTCTGTTAATCTTCAGGAAAAGGAAAATTAAAAAACCAGGATATTAGTGGGTGTGGTGGCACACACTTGTAATACCAGCTATTTGGGAGGCTGAGGCAGGGGGTGGCAAGTTCAACTTCAGCCTGGGCAACTTAGCAGATCCTGTCTCAAAAAATAAAAAGAGCTAGTAATGTAGTTCAGTGGTAGAGCACTTAAAAAAATCCCACTTAAATAAAACAATACAAAACAAAACACCAACCCCTCACACAAGCAGATACCACCAGAATGATTTCAAACGAAAGACACAGGTGATAATGATAATAAGAGTTGTCCAGGATGAGGAGCCACCAGAGTTCTCAGATACTGCTGGGTGGCAAGCAAACTAGACAATCACTTAGGAAAACTTTTGGCGGTCTTCACTGAAGTTGAACATATTCATATGTATGATCCACCAATTCCACTTTAAAAAAAATACATATATATATATATATATATTTTTAGTTGTAGCTGGTTACAATACTTCCATTTCATTTATTTATTTTAATGTGGTGCTGAGGATCGAACCCAGGGCCCCTGTACATGTGAGGCGAGCACTCTACTGCTAAGCCACAACCCCAGCCCCCCACTTTTTAAAAAATATATTTTTTTAGTTGTAGATGGACACAATACCTTTTATTTATTTATTTATTTTTTATGTGGTGCTGAGGATCAAACCCAGGGCCTCACACATGGTAGACACAACCCCAGCCCCCAATTCCACTCTTAGGGTACACTTAACAGAAATGCATACAGGTTCACCAAAAGACATGTTCACAGCAGAACTATCCTACAGCTTCAAGTTGGGAACTGCCCAAGTAACCACAGATAACACAATGCATAATAAATTGTGGTATATGACATAACAAAATAGAATTTTTTACAACTATAAGAACAATTTGAGCCAGACCCTGTCTCAAAATAAAATTTAAAAAGTGCTGGGGGTATACTGCTCCTGAATTCAATTCCCAATATCACTAAAAAAAAAAAAAAAAAGAAAGAAAAAAAAAAGCAAGAACAATAAACAATATGGACTAGTTTCACAAACATAACACAACGAGAAGAAGTCACACACAAACATTTATACTTAACAATACAATATACATAAAGTAACAAAATAGGCAAAACTAATCCATGCTATTAGAAATCAGAATGTCAGTTACTCTATTAACCACCAGGAGGGAGAAGGGGCTTAGGGGCTTGCCTGCAGGGGCTGGTGACATGTTGTTTTTGAGCTGGGTACTGGTTACACAGGTATGTTCAGGATTTTTTGTTTTTGTTCAGTTTTGGAAACATTATCAAGGTGCACACATGACTTGGAGACATTCTATTCTATTTTTCAATATTGAAACATTGCTGTAAATCCAGAGAGAACATAGATTAGTTGTTGCAGGGGACAGGAAAAGGGATGAATTAGGTGTGACTGGTAACTGGTACAGGGTTTCTTTCTGGGGTAATGAAAATGTTCTGGAATTAGTAATGGTGACACTTGTATAACCCTGTGACTATACTACCCCCCCTCCCCCAAATTATGTATTTGATGGGCTCTGAATCATAATAATAAAACTATTGCTACACTGGGGGTGTAGCTCAGCATGATTAAGGACCTGGGGTCCATTCCTGGAGTCACAAAACAAACAGAACATCCTACTGTTATAATAAGCAATCCTTCTAGGAGCTTTTGGCCCTGAGAGGATACATCTGTAGGTTGAGAAGTACACCAGACAGCTCCATATCTGAGAGTCCAACGGGGCTAAGGTAAGACACCAGTGGCTGCAGATAATTAATGTGCTGCCATGTACTCCTGCCATCCACTCTGAACGTGCCCCCTACTTCAAGGACAAGGTGGGGCAGGCTGCAGACTGAGCAGATAGGAGGGGTCTGTTCTTTAAAGAGAGTGGTGGTCTGGTAGGTTGTGATGGGCATTTTGAGAGTAAGATGGAGAGAATGGGAAAGGTGGGTTGATACTTGTCTTGAGGAATTGAGGAACCCAAAAGAGACACATCTCCTTTGGATCAAAAAAGTCAAAGTCCTAAAAATCTCTTGAGTCCAAAGTCAAGAGGATGACAGGTACCAACAGCAGAGCGGGCCACTCAGGATGATGGTGTGCTCCCCAGAGGTCAAAAGGAGCCCATGGGGAAGGGAGCTGGAATCGGGGCATTCTGCAAGGGCAGGGCATCCTCTCTACCCTCACAGGACTGCCTGGAGGGGTCAGAAGACAGCAGCAGAACATCTGTGAGGGAGGAGTGCTAGAAATAGGGCCAGAAATGGGTGCCTCCAAAGCAAACCCTTAAAATATGCAGCCTACAGTGCTGGCTTGGAGCTCTGTGGTAGGGGTCATGAATGCAGACACAGCAGGCTGGGACGCTCTGGGGGTGAGTGTGTGGCTCCTCAGGCTTTGTAAGCCATGCAGAGCCTGCAGTCAGTTTTGTGCTATGGAAACCTGGATGGCCAAGAGTCTGCCTACTGAGCATACAGCTCTCTGGGGATAGTTAGAACGGTCCTTTGTATAGGTGGCTCTCTGTTTCTTTTAACAAGTATAACAAAATTCTAAGAGCCAGGCAACAACTGATATGTTTGCAAGGAGAGGAAGTGAAAAGGAGCATTTGTGCAAATATGGAAAGTCAAAGGAAGAATCTAAGGTTTTGAACACAAAGGCCTGCCAAAAAGGGACCCAACCCTATTGCAAAATCAAATTGAGGGTATCACTGGTCCCCAATCTTAATAGTTTCATGACCTGAAGGTGCCTGTCTCTAGGTTCAGGGAGCTGGGGATGGGGACATGCAAAGAAATAGGCAGCTGGAGGCCTCCATGAAGGGAAGAAATCTGAATGAGGTATTGGCATGGGGGACTGGCTGGGAGTAAACAGATCAGAAGCATACTATGATTCGGGGGAAAATCCTGTCAGCAAAGAAAAATGAATCTGACCTAAAACTGCCTACTAGAGCCTTAAAAAGCCTTTGGCACCTCAGCCTGTGGTCAGCAGAACTGTGGGCTGTGAAGGCTGCTTGTCCCCAGGAAGTCTCGCTTCCTACGCCTGCCTTCCCTAAGCCGAGGGGGGCAATGGGCGAGGAGGAGGCTCCTGGAGGCTGAACCAGGGATTTGTAGAGCACCATCCTCCATCCTGGGCTGCAGCAAGACCCCATTGCTGCCATAGGCCAGGAACGTGTTTCTTGTCCGAATGGGAGTATTATTGCAGTTAATCTGCCCTTTGCCATTACCATGTGTGTCTCTCAGTTACAAGAAGCCATTCCTAGACCTGAGAGAGAGAGAATGGCATGTCACCCAGAAATCTTGGACTTTGAGGTGGATGCAGACCACATGGCTGTTTGGTTGACTCTCTTGAGTCTGGGGGTGTATCCATGTGTGGAAGAAGGTCCTGTAGGTATCAGTTAGCTGCATAGATAGATAGGATAGACTGTAACAATGTCCAGCAGCTTTCCACAGGGAATCCACTGCCCATGTCTTTCAGGATACTCACTAGCCTGCATTTCCCAGACTGCCCTGTAGTCACAAGGATCATGTGACTAAGTTCTTCCCACTGGAGCGTGAGTGACGGACAAGTGCCACTTACAACCCTTTGATGATTCCAGCCCTCTTCCTGTCAAATGGAACTTGGATGGGGACCAGGTCAAAACAATGCAGACAGCAAGGCTCTGACAGGAAAGGGCAGAACTGGAAGATACTAGCAGCCTGAGCCCCTCCACATTTCATGGAGGAATACCTACCCTGGGCAGTCTGGAGAGGGAGACACAAACCATCACTGGTTTAAGCCATTACATTTGGGGGTCTATTTGTTACAACAACATATTCTTAACTAGGATGCTGAAGAAAATACTAAAAAAATCTGGAAACAACCTAAACGTCCAACATGTAGGAATCGATTAAATGAATTATGAAACATCCATATAACTTAACACTATTTCATGAAAAATAATGTGGTGGATACTTAATGATGTGGAAAGGCACCTGAGAGGGTTGCCGCTTAGGGAGAAAACAGGTTCTAGACAGGACAGGCAGGGAGGAGAGAAGAAATCTCTCGGTGGAAGGTATCTTAGTCTTACCCCGGGTTGCTGGAAGTTCCTGAGTTCCTCAAAGGCATCAAATAGACACTCTGCTTTTTGACATTCAGAATCTGGTTGAGGTAGTGGAGGTTCAAACTCTAAAAGAAGAACATAACATTACCATTTTTTTCAGTCTACTGCAATCCAATCACAAGTGGTTTCTATATTGTTACTTCTACATTTAGGAGTAACTATGTTATAATTTTTCAGGAATATTTCTTAGGAATTGCTTTCCACTTTTCTATAGTGCAATAAAATGGCTCTCTAAGTCTCTCACTAAGATCTTGCTGTTTAGTATGGTGCTCATAAGCCACGTGTAGCTATTTAAATTTAAGATAAAAATTTAAAAAGTAGTTCCTCAGCAGCACTGGCCACATTTTACGTGTCCTGAGGCCATATGTCATATGTGCTAGTGGTTCATACTGAACATTTTTATCATGGCAGGGGGTTCTACTGGGCAGTGTGGCTGCAGGCTATTCAGGTGATGTGGCAGTATTCCACTAATCCTAGAATTTGACTCAGAAAAACATCAAAAGATAGCAAGAGGCGAAAGTCTGCTGGAGTCCGAAAGAGAAGTGGACTGCCATCTGACAGATCATAATAGCAGGATCTGCAGGGGAGAATGTGACCTGTTGATTTTTTTCCTTCCCTAAGTGCTGGGCACCCAGGTGATGAGGTGTGAATTCATAACCATTGGTTTTGCTGCAAATGACCAGCTGCAAAGACAGACAAAATTACAGACAGGAGAGAACTGAGAGCAAGGGAGAACAGTGGTGCAGTCAGCGTGGAGGCAGCTGGCCTGGGAGGTAGGAGGGAGGTGACAGAGTGAGGTGGGGGTAGCCAGGGGCTTCTGAAGGAGCTCAGCTGGCCTTCATCCAGGGAAGACACAGAGATCTTTAAGAGGTTAATGATAAGATTATACCCTTCAAAGGTCACTCTGGTGGTCAGAGACCTGTAGATATAGATCTTGAGCTAATAGCACCCTTGGCAAGATCAGAAAGGAGGCGGCTGAGGGAGCGTACAGGGCTGGAAGTAGGCAGAGGAGAGAGTTGGGAGGCCGAGTGCAGAGAGTGTTTAAAGGAGGTGGCTCTGAAGGAGAAGAGGGCAGACATAACAACACTGTTAGAGCTATCACAGTTTCTTTTTTTGGGGTACCAGGGATTGAACTCAGGGGTGCTTAACCATTGAGCCACATCCCCAGCCCTTTTTATTTTTGAGACAGGGTCTCTCTTAGTTGCTTAGGGCCTTGCTAAGTTGCTGAGGCTGGCTATGAACTCGCAATCCTCCTGCCTCAGCCTCCTGAGATGCTGAGATTACAGGCATGTGCCACCATGCCTGGGTCTATCGCACTTTCTAGAATGTTCTCTGTCTTCCTGGCCCTGCTTTCCGTGTTTATATGTATAGACTCATTTAGTTCTCATCATAATCCTGTGAGCATAGTACTACTTTATTGTCTTTACTCAAAAGAGGTAGGTTGCTACAAATGCTCGATTAGTGAATTATTCCTCGGGAATACAGGGTTAGGTCCTTGCAAGCCTCTAATGGCTATATGACTGTTTATGTGCATTTCTGGTTTCATATATGTTGTTGATTCATTAACAATGAACTTGGGACCTCAGCACTATAACTCACACTGAGCAAGATGAATCTCCTTGTGTTTACTTTCAGCATCAGGCTTGGGACCGTTTTAAACAACAACATCACCAACAGAAAGCACAAAAACGTGAAAACATGGCACTGAACAGAACACGAAGATGACCCGTGCTCACACCGTGGGAGCTGGACCAAGACAGAGCAAAGTCCTGTTTCACCTCTGCTGGGAACGTGCTCTAAGGGGACTCAAACTTTTTGCCACTCTGAGCTTGCCTACTAAACAATCATGAGAGCCCTGAAGGTGCTGATTTGGGGCATCAAATTGTAGTAAATACACAAATTCAGAAGTACAGAATATGCAAATAATAAGGATGGATTGCATTTGTATTTTACAGATAAGAAAAATGAGGCACCAGAGGGTAACTCCCCCAAAGTCACACTGACAGAAAGGTATAAAGTGGTAGAGCTGGGATTGGACCAGAGCTATCTGCCACAAAGGAAAGAATCACAAGTCTGGGAATCAGAACAGGGTTCAAACATGAGGAGAAAGTGTTGGAGCATGCTGAGTTCCCCCTCTAGGGAATTTCCCTTCTTTCTTGGGTCCTGGCCTCTCAAATCCTAGCTGTCTCAGTCTCTCTGATACCTTCCCAAACCATTTCCCTCAGCATTGGGGATTGAACCCCAGGCCTCATACATGTTAGGCAAGTGATCTACCACTGGGCTACATCCCAGCCTTATTTTATTCTGAGACAAGGTCAAAGTTGCACAGGCTAACTTCAAATTTATAGTCTTCCTGCCTCTGCCTCCTGAGTAGTTGAGATTATTAGTATGTGTGGTGCTGAGCATTTAAAAAAATTTTTTTATATAGTTTTGATGTGTTCTTATTGGAAAGTTTGGTCAAATGCAAGTTACTCATTGACAGTCAGCTATCAGAGTTTCTTTCTTTCTTTTTTTTTTTTTTAATTTCTGGATGTTGGGGATTGAACTCTGGGCATTGCATATGCTAGGCTGAGCTACAGTCCCAGCCCCAGGTGTTTTTAGTCATAATAAAAAACCTTTGCCAAATACTCCTTACCTTGTACTTAACCTGTTTTTTTCCCCCCATCAATTTGACATATCTTGGGCTACTGCCAAATCTTTCAGGACCTGTGTTCTTTTCTGAAGGAAGTGATCATGGTAATATTTGCTATAGACTGGTCATGAGGATTAAGCAAGAGAACCTGAATATCTCAAATACAGGGCCTCAGGGTGTTCAGTAGATGTGTTTTGAAAGGTGTCAACCAAAGGGTGGAGACCTGGAGGTGAAAGAGGCAAACTCCAACCTGAGAGTAGCAGATAGAATTCACAGGCTTCCTGCTGAAGCCACCCAGCAGCCAACCCTTCTACTTCCAGGTCTCCCCGAAGCCAACTGTGCTGTGGGTTTGCTGAGTCTCCATGGTCTAATGGATCTGTGTTCTCATGGGATGCATCTAGGAAATACTAGTGAGTTTCTAGGTTTCATGTCTCAGGCTCAGGACCCACATGACCCAGTTATCACCTACCCTGGGTAGGCCAGAAGGGAGGCCAGCCTTTATCCTGCTGCCCAGTCATTCTGGGCCCTATCTAACCACAACACTTGAAGAGTGAATCAGTCAGTACTCCTCCCTTGCTGGGGGAAAACAAAGGGGAATAAACACTTTGGAGACCAAACTTGTTGATCCTGGGCTAGCCCTTTGTCCAATAATTCCATCCTGAGAAATTTACTGGAAGGAAGGGAACAACTATCCATGCAGAGAAACATGAAGCAGCACGACAGTGGCAGAACTCTGCAATCTGATGAATGCCACCAAAAGGAGCCCAGATGAGGTGTGATCTATTCACCCAATAGGATAGTCTTCAGCAGGGAAAACAAGTAAAGGATGGCTGTGGGCATCAGTTGTCGATGATACTCAAAACCATTGTTAAACAGAAAGGGCGAGTCACAGCAGAATGTCTTTATGTCAACAACAGATATTTAAGGAGAAACACATCAGAGGTAAGACTCCCAGGAAAGGGGGGAGGTATAATGAACAGAACCCAGGATAGCAGGTTCCTCCAGGGGAGGGCACGGCAGTGCCTTCTGAGGCCCAGCACAGGCCTTCTGAGGAATAAACAAATTCTCTCAATCTGACATAGGTGACTTGGGTATCTACTGTCTTAGTCCCTTTGTGTTGCTATAACAAAATGCCATAAACGGTGTGGCTTATAAACAAGAGGAATTCCTCTTAACAGTTCTAGAGGCTGGAAATCCAAGATCAGGCACTGTTAGATCTGGTGTCTAGTAGGGGCCCATTTTCTGGTTCATAGATGGCAACCTTTCAGTGTGTCCTCACTTGGTGGAAAGGACCAATGAGCTCCTTGGGCCATTCCACAGGGGCACTCATCAATTCTGAGAGCTCTATTCTCATGAGCTCATTATCTGCATTACCTGCCAAAGGCCCATCTCCTGCTGTCACCCTGGTGATTAGGTTTCAACATATGAATTTTGGGGGAACACAGCATTCAGACCCTAGCATTTATTATTTTATCTGTAAGCAACAGAGTTGCTTTTTGTTTTGTTGTGGGTTTTTTTGTTTATTTGTTTGTTTGGGTACTAGAGATTGAACCTAGGGGTGTTTTATCACTGAGTTACATCCCCAGCTCTTTTTATTTTTATGTATTTTTTAAATATATATTTTTTAGTTGTAGTGAACACAATACCTTTATTTTATTTATTTATTTTTATGTGGTGCTGAGGATTGAACTCGGTGCCTCACATGTAGAAGGCAAATGCTCCATCCACCATTGAGCTACAACCCCAGCCCCTTTATTTTTTATTTTGAGACAGGGTCTCACTAAGTTCCTGAGGGTCTGGCTAAGGTGCAGAGTCTGGCCTCAAACTTGTGATCTTCCTGTCTTAGCCTCCTAAGTCACTGGGATAACAGGAGAGTGCCACCTCCTCCAGCAATATGGATATTTTATATTCCTTTTGTGGGTATAAACTCATGTACAATGTCTCTGAAAGACAACAAAAAGGAATTTAATGTGAATTAGAGCATAGCCTGCTTGTTAGGCTTAAAACCTAATGGTAATGGAGTCATAGGGGATGGTTTTGTCCCTTTAGGAAAATGGGTGGATGTCTCAAGGCCATTCCAGGGATGCTGAAGTGGCTGTAGCAAGAGATTATGAAGACTGAAGAGGCAAAGACCTTAGGTTAGGGCTGGAGTTGCGGCTCAGTGGTAGAACACTTGCCTGGCATGTGTGAGGCCCTGGGTTCAATCCTTAGCACCGCATATAGATAAATAAAATAAAAGATCCATTGACAACTAAAAAAATATTTTAAAAAAAGAGGAGGGTGTTTAAAACAAAACAAAACCTTAGGTTACCTCCTGCACAAATCTGTCTCCAGCATTAAGGTGAAAGGTTAAAGATGTTGGCCCTAGCTTCCTTTCCTTCAGGAACAGAGGCTGCCAGCAAAACCAGAGCCCTTGCCAGCCATCTGGGGATGGGGGCTGTAGAGCGGCACTCTTCAAAGCCATTCCTGTAGATTCTGGGTTCCTATGTGCAAGCTGACAATCAAGACATAGTACACACTGTACCCAGAGTTGCCCAGTGTGGTGGCCACCAGCCACAGTGACTGCTGTGTACTAGAAATGTGAGCAGCAAGACTGAGGAGCTAGAGTTTATGCTTCATTTAAATTAATTTAAAATGATTAGGTTGGGTGCAATGGCATAGGCCTGTAATCCCAGCGGCTCAGGAGGCTGAGACAGAAGAATTGTGGGAGTTCAAAACCAGCCTCAGCAATGGTGAGGTGCTAAGAAACTCAGTGAGACCTATTCTGAATAAAATACAAAATAAGGCTGGGGATGTGGCTCAGTGGTTGAGTGCCACTGAGTTCAATCCCTGGTACAAAAAAAAAAAAATCATAAAAAGTTATTTAAGAAAATTTAAGTATGTTTGAAATGACCTGAATATGTGAACCATTGTTTTCAATTGTGATTTTTTTCCCTCTTTTTGTGGTGCTGGGGACAGAACTCAGGGCCTCAGGCATACTGGACACATTCTGCCACTGAACTATATGCCCAGCCCCCAAACGTGATTTTTATAAACTCTAAATATAGCTCAAATATTTCCAGGGAAATTTAACATCTGAATTGGGATGTGCTGGAAGTGTGTGAGTGTGGAAAAAGAAGGTAAGATATATTATTAATCATTCTAAAAATAATGATCACATGTTGAAATGATAATATTAGGATGTATTAGATTAAATAAACATATTACTAAAATTAATTTCACGTTTCTCTTTACTCTTCAATATAGCAATCAGAAAATTCTAAATTATGTATTGGCTATTTCTGTTGCACAGCTGCTCTAGAAGTAGAAATAGGGGATAAAGAAAGAAGGATGGGCCAGGCGCGGTGGCTCATGCTTTTAATCCCAGTGGCGCAGGAGGCAGAGATAGAGGATCATGGGTTCGAAGCCAGCCTGAGCAACAGTGAGGCGCTCAGCAACTCAGTGAGACACTGTCTCTAAATAAAACACAAAATAGGGCTGGGGATGTGGCTCAGTGGTCAAGTGCCCCTGAGTTCAATTCCTGGTACCAAAAGTAAATAAATAAATAAATAAGAAAGAAGGATGGGGAAAGGCCTCCACATGAATTCAGGTCCTGATGAAGTTCAGAGTCCAAGGGCTCTTATAGACCAAACCGAGGACTCTCAAGGCTTTAAAAAGGATGGTGGTCTCAGTTGCCACACCATTCTCCAATTGCACAAGTACTCAAGATGTGCAAAGGAACTGGAATGAACAGGTTAAAACAACTGTAATTAATTTATGATTGAAAAAAAGAGGTCCAGTGAGTGACCAAGGATGCCAATCACCTAGGCATCGCCAAATGACCCCTAAGCCCAGTGTACACCACCTGGGTGCCAGCACAATGCAGAGTGTGCTCCCCAGTCAATTGCCTGTACAGCTACTGGGTATCACCCCTTGTCACTCTCCTAAGTTAAAAACTGCCACAAACTATAGTGGCCAAGGGTGCACAGAAGGTGAGTGCAACAAAGGAATGAGTGATAGAGGGGATCTGGGGACCCTTGTGGTCACACCTGCTTATTTTCCCAAAGAAACTGGGAAATCTATTTTCTAGGTCCCAGTTTTTGCAATGGTGGCAACCAATCCTAAAGTTTCTTCAAACACTGTGTGGGCTACATAACAAGTGTCGGTGGGCAACTTACGCTTAAATCCAAACCCTGGCCACCACTTACAAGTGGGGTTGGACCTCCTTTGTCTCCTGCAATACAGAGTTGTACCAGCCACTCACAACTGATCCAAGTCGGCCACCAGGCCTTTGCCCGTGTGGCTCCCTATCCTAGAATACCCTCCACCACTACCTTGAATCCTGGGGACCACCGGCTTTCCCAGACCAGGGGTAGTTTTTCTTGGCTCCACAGCCATTCTTTGGGCTTCTTACTTTCAAATTATGGAGTGCCTGAATCACATACTTGTTTGCATCCTGAAGCACTGAAGTTTTACATGCTAGTACAATATAGCAGTCACTTAGGCAGGCAAAACGGATATCACCCTTTATCTCCTCTGTACAGAACACGAAGTTCAAGAGAGGCTCAGAGAGGTTGGGAGAAGCCCGAGGTCACCCAGGTCTACAGAATCCAAGAGCCAGAATTTGGAATCCAGATCGGGGTCGTTTTCCAAAAGCTGGACTCCAGCTCCCTGGCAGGTCTAACAGTTTCACCTGCTGGAAGGAAGGGTTTCATTCACAAAATCCAGGCTTGAAAAGAGTATGTGGCCAGAGGATCATGAGTTCAAAGCCAGTCTCAGCAAAAGCAAGGCACTAAGCAACTGAGTGAGACACTGTCTCTAAATAAAATACAAAACAGGGCTGGGGATGTGGCTCAGTGGTCGAGTGTTCCTGAGTTCAATCCTCAGTATCCCCTTCCTCCCCTCCCCCAAATTTATGTGTATATTTCTCTATATATTCCACATCAATAATACACATAAAAGCATTATATAATATTGCATATATTAATGTTATACTTCAATTCTCACGAAGGCAAAAGACAAGCTTCGAGATAGCCACAGCTCCCTCCAAACCGCCCGGCCATTTGCCCAGACTTTGCCAGGGCCGTTTGCTCGCAGTCGCATGGCAGGACAAAGTATGGAGCTTTCCAGAAGCCAGTGGAAATGTACCCCGTCCTGGAAAGGAGGTCGCGAGGCCCCTGCCCACCGGCCTCACCGCCCAGCACGTCCGCCAGTGTGTGCGCATGCCCCAGCGCGCCTCCGAGCGTCCTGCGTGCGCAGCCCCCCCCCCCCCCCGCGTATGGCCCGGGCAGCTGCGGGGCACGAATACTCACGGCTCCGCGGGGCGCACAGGCCGCGGCGGTCCCCACGCACAGTCCACGGCGGCTGCAAAAACGGGCTAGCTCCTCCGGGCGCGGGGTCCCGGTGTGGGCCTGGACCGGGCCGGAGGACGCCGACCGGGGCAGGAGGCCGGCGGCTGCGCGGCGCCCGAACGTCCACATGCTGCTCCGCTCTGCCGCCCGCTCCACCCTCCCGCGCGGGAACGCGGCGGCGACACCTGGTGGCCGTGGGCCGCAGGCGCCGGGGTTGGGCTCCCGCGCTCAGGTCCATTCTTTAGTGGGGAAGCAGGCAGAGGGAGACCTCAGGAAGAACTTCCCAGCATTGTACTATCTTGTATTTAACAAAGCGCGGACCTTACCCCTTGGGCAGCATCTTGAATGTATAACCAAGGACCCTGACCTCAGGGAGACTTCAGCCTGGGGACCGGCCGCTGCAGAAATTCTGTAAGGGAGGCAGTTGGGAACTGCGGCCTTGCGGGGGAACTGGATGTGCTGCAGGCTTCGAAACTGCTGGTCTGCACGTATAGGTCACATCAGTTAGGAAAAAACCTCTCTGTGTCTTGTCTGTAAAATGGAGTTTATAAAAGTTTCCACATGTATAGAGTTGTGGGGATAAAATGAGTTAATCCTTGTAAAGTTCTTTGAATAGGGACTGGTTCTTATTAACTGTACAATATATGTTAGCTATTACTGATAGATTTTAGAAAGAAAGTTTAATTAGGGTATATGTTGCAAAGGAATACTTTTGGAAAATGTGAATACTTTTTGTGGGTGAACAGAGGAGATAGGAAGGTGCTGAAGTTCATTCCTCCTCTAGGTCTCAACTCAGATGTCAGACGTCACCTCCTGCAGAATCCCTTCATGAAACCAAACTTCTATGTCCCTACAGTGTGTCTTAGGCATCTTCTTATGTTTCCAGAGCCTGCAATTAAGTTGTTAGCTGACTTATTTTTCTAATATCTCCAACACAGAATAGACACTCAACTGATGAATGAAAACAAATGAAAGAATGACTGATATACTTCTTTATTGACCTCTTACTTCTTCTGGTGACTTTGTTTTGTGGCTCACTGCCAAGGAACAGTGTGGAACTAACTGATACTGATCAATCATAGTTTTCAGAGTAACTTCTTTCTTAAGGTATTTGCATTTTACCTGGAATCTCAAACCTTTAAAGACCCAAAGAATGAATTTAAAAAATCTTATTACCCCCAAATCTGAGATTTCTCCAGTTTATGCCAACTAAGAAAAATAGCATCGTCATACACCAAATGATTCTTGCTAGTAACTTGGGTGTCTCCTTTTCTATTTTATTTTATTTTTATTTTTTGGTACTAGGGATTGAACTCAGGGGCTCTCGACCGCTGAGCCATATTCCCAGCCGTATTTTGTATTTTATTTACAGACAAGGTCTCACTGAGTTGCTTAGCACCTCACTGTTGCTGAGGCTGACTTTGAACCAACCCCTGAATCAGCCTCCTGAGCTGCTGGGATTACAGGTGAGCGCCTTGCTCCCTTTCTATTCTTTTCCCTTGCTCCCCACACCCAACTCATCAATGACTCCTGCATTAATTCTGCTTCAAAACATATGCTGAGGGCTGGGGTTGTAGCTCAGTGGTAGAGCAATTGCCTAGCAATTCAATTCTCAGCACCACATATAAATAAATAAAATAAAGGTCCATTGACAACTAAACCAAACCAAACCAAAAACATATGCTGAATTGGCCCAATTTCTCTGTCTTGGAGTCCAGTCCTAGGCTGTTTTCTCTCATTTGGGTAACTGTATTAGCCTTGTAGCAGGACTTTCTGGAAGAGTTTTTTCTTTTTCCTTTCTCCACACAGAGGGCTCTGTGATTTCTGTTAAATGGAGTTTTTGGGAGGCCACTTTCTTGGGATAAATTCCTACACTAGGCCTCAACAGACCAGGCCTAACCAGAATGGATTTACCTTTACTAGGAACCACATAATCAAACTTTAAAACAAGCCAGGTTTTGCTGAACATGGTGATGTATACTTGTAATTCCAGTGATTTGTGAGGCTGAAGCGGGAGAATCGAAAGTTCAAGGCCAGCCCGGGCAATTATGTGAGACTCTGTTTCAAAAAAAAGGGCTAGGAATATAGCTCTGTGGCAGAGTGCTCTTATGTTTATTTCCAGTGTCCAAAACAAACAAGCAAGCAAACAAACAAAATACCAAGGTAGATTTCCAAAAACTAGTAAGTGACCTGAGCTGGCATAAGGAAGTCCCCTCTGCTTTAACTGTATACATTTTTTTTTTGTTCTTTTTTTTTGTGTATGTGTGTGTGTGTATGTGTGCGTGTGCATGCACGCTACTGGGAATTGAACCCAGGGTGCTCTTCTAATGAGCCACATTCCAAGTGCTTTTTATTTTTATTCTGAGACAAGTTCTCGCTAAGTTGCTGAGGATGGCTCTAAATTTGTGATGCTCCTGCCTCAGCCTACCAACTAGCTGGGATTATGGGTGTGCACCATTTCACCATTTCATTTCAATTTTCTGACAGTGTTCATTCCCTTAACAAGCATTTACTGTATACCAATGCACAATTCTAATACTGAAGATAGGCTCATGAACAAAATAAAAATCTTTGCTCTTGAGGAATTTATATTCTAAGATCACCAGTGGCCTAATAGTTTCTCTTAAATGATGTGTCACTTATGGCCTGGGACTATCTGGCTGAGTTTTGATTAGATAAGGAAGGGAGAAATGGCAGCTGTTCTTACTCCTACACATGTTTGAAAGGGAGTCTATCTGGTCTGCACAATGTCTGGGGTTGTCACTGTAGTTCTTTGCATTGAGAACACATCAGTACTCAAGGAGTCAGCCAGGTGAAGTGGCACATGCCTGTAATCCCAGTAACTTGGGCGGATGAAGCAGGAGGATTGCATGTTTGAGATCAACCTCAGCAACATAGCAAGGCCCTAAGAGTGAGGCCCTGTATGAAAATATAAAAAAAATAAATAAAAATAAAGGACTGGGATGTGGCTTAGTGGTTAAGCGACCCTGGATTTAAGTGCCAAAGGAGGGGGGAGTTAAAAGTTGGATATAATGGTATACACCTGTAATCCCAGTGACTAGGGAGTCTAAGACAGGAGGATCTCAAGTTCAAGACCAGCTTCAGCAACTTAGTAAGACCCTTAGCAACTTAGACCCTGTCTCAAAAAAGGGGCACTGGGGATGTAGCTCAGTGGTAAATTGTCCCTGGGTTAGATCCCCAGTACCAAAAAAAACCCAAAAAATAAACAAAACCCTCCCAAACCTCAAGGACTCAGATAATGGCCAGAGGAAGCTTCTGCCCAAAGGGTCTTGAGTGTGGTTGGGAGACAAGAGCAGCACAGGTGCTGATGGCACTGGTGAGGAGGTGTCACCTGCCTTGGGGTAGCATTTCTTCTGATTTCCCATAGAAAGCTTCCTATCTTCCTCTTGTTGGATAAAAAAACCTGAGGTTTAAAAAAACTTTTTTGGTACTTGGGATTGAACTCAGGGGTACTTGACCACTGAGCCACATCTCCAGCCCTATTTTGTATTTTATTTAGAGACAGAGTCTCACTGAGTTGCTTAGTGGCTCACTTTTGCTAAGGCTGGCTTTGAACTCATGATTCTCCTGCCTCAGCCTCCTAAGTGGCTGGGATTACAGGTATGCACTACGATGCCTGGCTCCCAAGGGTTTTTTTAAGAAGTATAGTTTAGATTCTTGTGTTAAAGGAAAGGCTGTGTGCATAGGTGAGTTTGTAGCAAGTACTAATATAATCCTTTTAGATTTGTCAGATGCAGAAATTAAGGTCCAGAGAGTTTGACATGCCCATTGATTAAAGTGGAACTAGAACCCATGCTTTCTGACCCAGTGTTCTTCCCCTACAGTCTTAGTTAAATCTCTCTAGTTAAGTGTCTAGTCCCAGGAAGAGCTCTGACTGGAATGTGGTCCACTCCTTGGAGTAATCACTTTCGCTAATGGGGTGGCCAGTGTCTATTTTATGTTGCTATAACATAATACCTGAGCCTGGGTAACTTATTAAGAGCAAAACTTTATGTCTCACAATGCTAGAAGCCAGAAGTCCAAGATCAAGTCACTGGCAAGTTTGGTGTCTGGTGAGGCCTGGTGGCCTGGTCTGTTTCCAAAATGGCGCCTTAAATACTGAATCCTTTGGAGGGGAAGAGTGCTGTTCCTCACATGGCAGAAAGGCAGAAGAGAGCGAACCACCCCACAAGCTATTTTTATTAATCCATTTACAACGTCAGCACCTTCAAAACCTAAGCACCTTCCAAAAGGCCACATCTCCCTATACTCCTATATTAGAGGTTCACATTTCAACATGAATATTTGGAAATGACAAGAGCATTCAAACTCAGAAGCCAGTTCAGAGGCAGGGCATATTACATGATGAAGAGGGCTAGAGAATCTTCTAGGGCACCCTAAAAGGGAAAGCTATTCCAGTTCACCTGAGAGAACAAAACCCTAAGTCTCTAAATTCTCCCTCATTTTTGCTTAGCTGTGAGATTCGACTCAGTGCTCTGATTTTTCCTGCCGGGTAGTGACCAGCCCACTGTATTTACTTGGACTCACTGATAGGAGAGATTGCCCATGTGTTCTTCTCCAACATTTGCCAAGGGCAAAGTTTTCTGTACTGAGGGATGAGAAATAGGAGTATGTCCCAGGAGACTGATTATGGCTCCACTGCCTGAATCCAAACTCTGGAATGGCATTTAATACATTACCTTGAGCTTAATATAGATTGAGTTCATAATATATTCAGCAAGTTAATCAATCAATACTTCTGAAATGTTTTGAAAATGTGAAACCTGTAAATAATTTAAATAATAGGCTAATCATTGAAATGATCAGTGGCCAGAGAAAAGAAGGTTTGGATTTATTTACTGAGAATGGCTCCCTTCAGGGTCCCTTGGGTCCTTTGATTCTTGCTGTGACAGAATTAAGAGAACATTTGGCAGAATTTTCTCTCTTTTACAAAAAAAAATTTTTTTGAGAAGATTTGAGGGGACAAGAGGAAAAAAGCATGTGATATATCTGAAATACCACTATAGTGTTGATTAAGGAATCTAATTTAGCCATTTTACTCCAGAATTCTTTTTATCACTGACTAGATATATCAATTTCTTCTACCCTCATTTAAATAATTTTGTCTTCCCGATGGTTCCCTCTTGTATTATTTTGCTTGGACTGCTAAAACAAGACACCATATGCTAGGCATAGTGGCACACGCCTGAAATCCCAGTGACTCAGAAGATTGAGGCAGAGGATCCCAAGTTCAAGGCCAGTCTGGGCAACTTGGTGTCTATGGCTGAATAAAACTCTATTGTGCCAGGTGAGGTGGTGCACATTTATAATCCCAGCAGCTCAGAAGGCTGAGGTGGGAGGATTGCGAGTTCAAAGCCAGCCTCAGCAATTCAGTGAGTCCTTAAGCAATTCAGCGAGACCCTGTCTCTAAGTAAAATATAAAAAAGGGCTGGGGATGTGGCTCAGTGGTTAAGCACCCCTGGGTCCAATCCCTGGTACCAAAATAAAATACAATACAAACAAACAAAAATCTCCATTGTGTGTATATATATATATATCACATCTTCTTTATCCATTCATCCGTAATGGATACCTAGGCTGTTTCCATAGTTTGACTCTTGTGAATTATTCAACCATCAACAGGGGTATATATGTATCACTGTAGAATGACTTTAATTCTTCAGGATAAATACTGAGGAGTGGTATAGCTGGGTCATATGGTGGTTCCATGCCCACTCTTTTGTGGAACCTCCATGCTGATTTCCACGGTGGTTGTACTCTATTTACATTTCCATAAACAGTATAAAAGTGGTCCTTTTTTTCCCACATCCTCTCCAGCATTTATTATTGTTGGTACAAGTTGTCTTTTTTAAAAATTTTGACATAGAGATGGGGACCCTACTGTATCTGGATGGAAACTGCCACGGGCACGACACCCACACTCATTCTCTGGTAAATGTCTAGCAGATCTTTTTGGGAATTTCATCTCAGAGTGACAAGAATGTGACCCTTGTGTCATCTTAAGGATGAGAAAACATAGGTCCCCAAGGACTCCAAAATTCTGATAAGGCCTGAAGATCCCTTACCTACTGAATTGATGCTGATGGTATCTTTGAAGAGAAGAAGGCACCTTCTAACAAGGAGGCAGCTGAGCACAGGGACACAGTAGTGACAGCACCTATTTGATCTGGGAGGAAACTGAAGGCTTCTTGTAATGGTTCATGTGGACAAGAGGGGAATGGCTTCCACAGCAGAGGGACATAACCTTAGAATCCACTCACCTCAAGGAAGTGATCTTAGCCACATACTTGGTGTTTAATTAAACAGAAGGGGGGAGATGCTGAGAGCCATAGCCGAGTCCGAATGACGCATGGCATTTTTGCCAGAATGGAGTGGTTGAGAGGTGATGCCAGCAAGCCATTGAGATGATAATGGTTATGTTAAGCTGTATATATTAGACCCCTGCTGTCCGCCTGGGCTTGCTACTTTAGAGTTCTTGCAGGAATTCACGGAGGGTTCCCATTGGTTGGGGAAATGCAGGGAGAGGGGTTTCTGGTTGGTGTGTGGTGTGTCCCGAGAGAAGGCTGCATACGTGGTTCGCGGGAGTGCGGAGAATAAAGGAGTTCCTGTTTTGAACCTAGAAGGCTGTGTGGCGGCTCGGTTAATTTGTGCCCAGCCAGACTGCGGCAATTGGAGAAGCTAAAAGAAAACATTGGCATCATCTTATGGGATGGTGAATCCTTCAGTTCTAACCTACAGGTTGATACTTCCTTCTACTTAAAAAAATTTTTTTTAAATGTTTTTTGTTATTTTTAATTGTATATAACAGTAGAGTGTATTTTGACATATTAAACATACATGGAGTATAATTTTCAATTCTTGTGGTTGTACATGATGTGGAATTATACTGGTTGTGTATTCATATACGAACATTGGAAAGTAATGTCTGATTCTTTCTACTATCTCCTATTTTTCTTAATACATTGTAAACATTAAAGTCTCAGGCATTCTGGTTATTTGGAGCCTCATAATAATCCTTCCAGCAGAAACTTAGCTGGTGTTATATAATTATTTCTCATTTGAATCTAATACTTTTTCTCCATCTTGCAAAGTCCTTTCATGTGTCCTACTCAGTTACAGGAAAATCATAAATACTTTGCCACACATCACTGCTGCATATCACCGACGTGGGATTCCTCTGCCTGTGTTTATCTATGTATTGTGTTGCTCCTGGAGGATTGCCCGGAATTAACTCTTCAATAACGAGACAGGACCTTTCAGCCTCTGCTTCAGGATTGAAATCCGGTGAACATCTTCAACTCTTCTCTGGATCTGAGAGTTCACATAAGAGAAAACAGAGTTTATATTCCAGGCATACAAACTATGGAACACCAAGTCCATTCCCTACCCTGCTCATCCAGCAAGGGAAATAGGTCTGTAAGAATATTTTTGAAAATTTAAAAAAGAGGACATTGTTTACTGATATTATTTCCTGATCATTTATGTAATAATATATGTTATATTTCAATTGCACTGAACAAGCTATTGTATTGATCTAGAATTAAATCATTCTGATCATGCCCTATTTTCTCTCTCTATAAGAGGTGGCTTGTACTTATCAGGAAATGACACTGGCCTTCTTATAAGCCATTTAAATCAAGTTGCTTTCTAAAGCCATTCAGTGTTCCTCATAATTTGCAGGATAAAATGTAAAATCTGAATTTCTTAGCAAAAAAAAAGGAAGTGATCTTATATTTATGCCCAGATTTATCATTATTTGCTTAAATAATTTAAAGTTGCAAAAAATTTAAAAGAATCTAAATGGCTAACATTTAGACGATTCATTAAATAAAGTATACTACATCCAAATAAATAAAAATTTCTTTGTAATTGTAGATGGATAGAATGCCTTTATTTCATTTGTTTATTTTTATGTGGTCTAAGGATCAAACCTAGTGCCTCACACATGCTAGGCAAAGTGCTCTGCCACTGAGCTGCAGCCCCAGTCCCAAGTTGTCATTCTTGAGAGCTAATTAATAGCAAACAATAAGTCAAGCCTTGCCATGTTGTTCCTGAGCAGGGTTTCTCAGTAGTGGTACTATTGATGTTTGGCCTGGGTGCTTCTCTGCTGTGGTGGTTGTCCCATACATCCTGAAATGTTTAGCGGAATCACTGGCCTGTCTCCACTAGATGGCAGCAGTATTAGCTTCCCAGACAACAGAATGCATTACAATTCATATTATACATATAGAGCCCAATTTATAACAAATTAAAAAATTTTAAAAAAAGAATGTAGAAAGGATAGTAGAATGCATTGGGCATTATTACCCTATGTACATATATAACTATATGACAGGTGTGATCTACATCATGTATAATCAGAAGAATGAGAAATTACTCTATTATATATGATGTATCAAAGTGCATTCTATATTCATATATAACTAATTAAAACAAATCAAAAAATTAAAAACAAACAAATTGACAGGCAAAAAAGTTTCCCCACATTGCCAAAAGGTCCCTTGCGGGGTGGGGTGAGGTTTCAAATTGCCTCTAATTGAGAAACACTGTTCTAGTGTAATTCTGAATTAAAGGCCCAGAGCAATATTTTTGTCCTATTTATGAATTTTAGATAATTTTCATAACTGTTCATATCCCTGCAAACTTGGTCTATTTTTAATCTGAATTTCAGTTTCTTCACCTGCAAAATAGACTAATGCCCTCTACCCTGAGGACTGAGTGCTTAAGGACTGAGTGACACAGCATGTGCCAAAGAGCAATCAGCAAATGTTACCAGCTATACACCTGGCTTCATGGAGGGTCTTGGGGTGTTTTGAGAAGCATGTTTACACACACTTGTGGCTGCAGGGAGTGGGAGGCCCTCCTGGGACCACTTTGGCCAAACACAGACATCTAGCCTGTGCTTTCAGGCGCTGCAGCCTGGTGGGGGTGTCACTGAGATGCTGTTAGGTGCAGTTCCCTGGAGCTGATAGGCTTCTCCTCATACTTCATGATCCATCTCCTGGACTAGAAGCTGGCGGTCTCCACAAGTTAGGTGAGTGTTACTTCCTTTCCCTTTGGGCAGCACTGCATGCCAACTCTCTTCTTTCTCCCTCACCAGGTGAGCACTGCAGTCCCTCTACTGCTATCTTCACTCTGGGAGAAGCTGGTCCCTTGTTGAGGACCCAGGGCGAGGCACATGAGGTGAGGAGCTGAGGCATCCAGCCAAAACCTGGAATGGAAAGGCGGCTTGTCGACAACCATGAGCAAGGAGACCGATCCTCTTGCAGCCCTGACCCACCACTGACAACAACTGCATGAGAGACCCTGAGCCAGAACCTCAGAGAAGCATTGGTCTCACATCCTAGACCTGAGAATAAGGACCAGACATGCTGTCTGCTCTGCCTGCCATCACTAGGCACGGTGCAAAGTGCTTGACAGATATCTAATGTATTTCTGCTAATAGTCATGCTGAGGACACTATTGTCTCCATTTTCTTAAAGTAAATATATTTATTTATTTTTTAGTCATGGATGAACTTTTATTTAATTTAATTAGTTAATTAATTAATTTTTGGTACCAGGCACTGAACTCAGGGGCACTCGACCACTGAGTCACATCCCACCCCTATTTTGTATTTTATTTAGAGATAGGGTCTCACTGAATTGCTAAGCACCTCGTTTTTGCTGAGGCTGGCTTTGAACTCGTGATCCTCCTGACTCATCCTCTTGAGCAGCTGGGATTACAGGTGTGCATCACTGTGCCCGGCCTTTATTTTTATTTATTTATTTGCATGCAGTGCTGGGAATTGAACCCAGTGCCTCATACATGCTAGGCAAGTGCTCTACCACTGAGCCACAACCCCAACCGTATTGTCTCTATTTCACGGAACAACATTCAGAGGTTAGTTAATTCACTTGTCCAAATCCTCCAGTTACCAGGTCCTCAAGCTGGGACTCAAACTTGTGTCAGTTAGTTGTCATGTTATTCCACCTGTCCTTTGCTCTTTCCAAATGAGGCTTGTAAAAATCACCAGCACCCCTTTTCCTTCCTGGTTTTCCCCTCCACCTCATTCCTAAGCAATGACATTCACTGAGCTCCTTGGCTAAGAGCTGTATGTCTCCCTCTGTCACCTTTGGTAGGTCAAATGGTGGCATCATCCTGCTTGGGTCTGGTCCCTTTAACAGAGTTAGTACCTGGCACACCCTGGGCGCCACCTTGCCGGGCATAATTGCCTTATTTTGATTGAAGCGTCCATGCACTGTTAGCCTACACAATGCTGTTAGATTGGATAAAGACAAAGGAGATGTATTTTAAAAAAACTATGATTGAGCTGGCACAAGCCTGTAATCCCAGCAACTAGGGAAGCTGAGGCAGGAGCCAGCCTTAGCAATTTAGCAAGGTGCTAAGCAACTCAGTGAGACCCTGTCTCTAAATAAAATATAAAAAAGGGCTGGGGATGTGCTTCAATGATTGAGTACTCCTGGGTTCAATCCCCAGTACCAACCCCCCCCCCCCGCCCCCGAGAAACCTATAATTGAGCATGGCACATTTCAAACATTATTTAGATAGAGAATACTATGTCAATCTGAAAATCCTAGAGAGGACCCGAATCTTTGCCAAAAAGTTCTGTGAATCAGGGGCTGGGGATGTGGCTCAAGAGGTAGGGCGTTCGCCTGGCATGCGTGCGGCTTGGGTTCTATCCTCAGCACCACATACAAACAAAAATGTGTGTCCGCCAAAAAAACTAAAAAATAAATATTAAAAAATTCTCTCTCTCTCTCTCTTAAAAAAAAAAAAAAGATCTGTGAATCAGGATCAAAGAATTGGGTTTATGAGGCTGGAGCTGTGCTCACACACCTTCACATCCTCACTTTTCACCAAATTTCCTTTAGAAGAAGGGCCAGAGACCCAGGTCTCTGGTTCACATTCTGCTCTGAGAATGTCTATCTTCACCTTTCCCTTTTTAGTTTAATTTAATTAATTTATTTTTTGGCATTGGAGATTGAATGGGGTTGGGGGGCGCTCTGCCAGTGAGCTACATACCTAGTTCCCTTTTATTTATTTATTTTTAAAATTTTGAAACAGAATCTGCTAAACTGTTCAGACTGACTTTGAACCTGTGATCTTGCTTCCCGAATAGTTGGGATGTACTCAGCATCCTTGGATTAAATTCCAAGCTCCCAAGGCTAGTCTCCAACTTGCCATCCTCCTGCCCCAGCCTCCTGGGATTACAGGAGTGCACCAATGCTGCATCCGGCTCTCGACTTTGACTTTCTAAAATGTGATGATTCCTTAAGTTCTAGAGGCTGGAAGTTCTGAGTAGAGGTCTCCTCTGCCCTGGAGAGACCTCCTCAAACCCCTAACAGTGACCGGAGTGGCCTCATCTCGACCTTGGGGCTGATCCTTGAGCCCCAATAGGTGAAGAGTTGTCTCAGCAAAGAGAGGAAGAGTGGAGCAGGCAGAGGGGGACAAATAGTTCCATGTCTTGATTCAAGACTGACTCCAGAGGCTGGAGGAGAAAGGCAACAATACCTGAGAAGCTTAAAAGGTGAATCAGGTAGACTCCTGCTCAGCAGGACTGAGCAGGGCCAGTAACTTGCCCCTAAGATTGCAATCTTCATTTTTTTTTTCTTTTTTTCCTAAAAAACTCCAAGTTAAGCATTTTTTGTACCTTACAGGTCTGGTTTGTCTCCAGGCCCCATAGTCCCTTATAATGGATACAAACTCGTCAAACTTCCTGCATTTTCTAAATTCTGGAACTGGCTTTGGGTGCCACTGAATGCTTCCTTTGTCTTGCTGTATTATATAATTTTGATGTGAAGAGCTATGTAACTATTAGGATAATTGAATTGGGGTTTCTCATTTCTCAACTCTTTGCTCTATGAGCTATGATGCATTGGTGCTTGGGGTGGGAAAACATGGATGGGTTTAAATCCAGGGTACATGCCCTAGTGCTGTGGGGTTCAGGCAGGTGTTGGGAATGAGTGGCAGGCCCTACCAAAATCTTGGCCTTCTTGGCTTTTTCTTTTCTTTTCTTTTTTTTTAAAGAGAGAGAATTTTTAATATTTGTTTTTCAGTTTTCGGCGGACACAACATCTTTGTTTGTATGTGGTGCTGAGGATCGAACCTGGCCGCACGCATGCCAGGCGAGCGCGCTACCACTTAAGCCACATCCCCAGCCCACTTGGCTTTTTCTTTCCAGCTGTTGCTGATGACAGCATCAAGTGTCATTTCACTTTTTTCTTAGTGCTGATGTAAGAAAACCCACAGTGGGAACAGGATGATAAACGGCAACTGTCATTAGCCCTGAACTGTGGGACAGTGGGGAGGGTGAGAGGGTGGTGAAGTTGGGGGGTGAAGTACAGGGAAATGCCATGTAAGGTGCACTTCGGGCCAGTTAAATAGTGTCCTACTGTGTGTAGGATATTCCAACAGACAAATGTGGAGGATTTGGGGCATATGAAACTCATGAATTGTTAAATTTGAAAAATAATTCTCAAAATGTAAAATATACTGTACAGGCCACTATAATGTAGGTCAAATACTATGTGTTTACAGACTCATTCAGTGGTTTTTTTTTTGGTGCTGGGGATCGATCCCAGGGCTTCCTGCTTCTAAACTTTGTGTGTTAGAATCACCCGGGGGAACTTTTAATAATTTTCATGCCCAACTCACACATCTGACCAATTAAAGCAATCTCTGGAAGTAGGACCAGTCATCAGTATCTTTAATTTTTTTTTTTTTTAGTTGTTGATGGACCTTTATTTTATGAATTTATTTATAGGAGGTGCTGAAAATGGAACCCAGTGCCTCACACATGTGAGGCAAGTGCTTTACCACTGAGCCACAACCCCAGTTCATCAGTATCTTTTTTTAACATTCCAAATGGTTCCTTTGTGTACTTAATGTTGAGATCAGGCATGGTGGTGAATGCCTGAAATCCCAGCTACTTCAGAGGTTGAGGCAGGAGGATCACAAGTTGGAGACCAATCTGGACAACTGGTTGAGATCTCAAAGAATAAAATAAAAAATAAAAAAGGGCTGGGGATGTAACTTAGTGATAGGGCACCCCTGTTTCAGTCCCTGGTACTGCAAAACAGACAACCTTCCCCCACAAAACCCAAGGAATTTAGTGGAAAGATACATAAAAGAAACTGAAAGACCAGGAGGCTGACCAGGATAGGAACCAGGGAAACACATTGGCCAACAGCTACAGAAACACATGAGAGGCCTTTTAAGGTGCTGTCTTGGATGACTCATTTATAAATGCCTCTAGTGCCCAGGGTTTCTGAGATTCAAATTCCTGGGCTGGGGGTGAAGTGCGATGGTAGAACATTTGCCTAGCATGTGTGAGATCCTGGGTTCAAACAAACAAAACACAAACAAAACAGCAACCAATATTTAAATTCCCAAGAGAAACGGCTTGGCCTGTCTTCAGCCATGTGCCCACACCTGAATTTGACTCAATGGGTGAGTCTTGATTGAAAGCCCCAAAGGACCTGATCAAACAGCACAGGAGTAGTCCCCCCAAGGTAAAACGAAAGGTTGTTATTGGCCAAACTATAGGTGCCTTAACCAGACAACCTCCATTTTACCCTGAGACTCCATTTCCTATGAGAAATACTTCTCCCATGAGAAAACCCAGCCTATGTAACCTACCTCCTGCTAAGTACACCCTATTTGGCAAAACATAGCAGTTGAAAAAGTTCCTGGTATTCTTATACAATGTATTATTAAGCAATATATTTATAAGATGTTCTTTTTTTAGTTCCCATTTTTCTTGGGCAGTGTACTGTACCCTGAAGTGGGTCAGAATGACCCACTTCCTACGTTGCTATGGTTTTGACTTACTGGTAGCTTATATTTTTTTAGCTATAAAAATGTACCCTACCTTCTGCAAAGGGTTGAAGTTTGCAGAGGTGACTTGGTTACTGCCCTTTCGACCCGCCGACAAATAGTTCCATGTCTTGATTCAAGACTGACCTGGTGATTTATTTCTAATGTGCCACAACAGGGTCATTATCAGAAAGGGAAAACTTCCAAATATAGAAAAGGGATTTTATAATAATTGTCTCTATTTTGTTGATTTCAACATTATACAAGTGGTGGCGCATGCCTGTAATGCCAGTAGCTCTGGAGGCTGAGGCAGGAGGATCATGAGTTCAAAGTCAGCCTCAGCAAAAGTGAGGCCTAACCAACTCAGTGGTTAGGCCTATTTTTAAATAAAATACAAAATAGGGCTGGGGATGTGGCTCAGTGGATGAGTGCTCCTGAGTTCAATCCCTGGTACTCCCCCTCCAAAACAAACAAACAAACAACAACAACAACAACACATTATACAAATTGTATTAGTCAGTTTTTTTTTTTTTTTTTTTTTCTTTACTGTGACTAAAAGGACCCAACCAGAACAATTGTAAGGGAGGAAAAGTTTATTTAAGGGCTCATGGTTTCAGAGGTCTTAGTCCATAAAGGCTGACTCCATTCCTTGGGTATTGAGGTGAGGCAGAACATCATGGCAGAAGGGGGT